AGGTTCTTGGAATGGCACAGGCTTCGTCCGGAGGTGGTGGGCTCTCTTTTGAGGTTTCCAAACAAGAGGCTAGATGGCCATCCGACAGCAGTGCTGATTCTGTGAACTTAAGCAGATCGTGAAAAGGGAGGGCAGGAAGGGTTGCCTCAGTGCTTAGTTCTCGTGGCCCTTCCGTACATGCCCAGGGGAACATTGGTGGGGGAGGTATTTTGAATTTCCTACCTGGTGGAATGAGCTCCCAGGAGAGATCCGGGCCCTGCGGGACCTGGTTCAGTTCCGCAGGGCTTGTAAGATGGAGCTCTTCCGCCAGCCTTTCGAGTAGGAGCCGCCGCCACCATCATCCGCCATCATTATTCCATCTGCACCACCCCCATCCCTTTCTTCTTAATTCCGCAAATTGACCATCTCTGGAGCGGACAATACTGGGGGTGTGAGCCGTTCCTGGCATATGACAGCGCTGTAGGGACATACATTGTTGTTACTGTATATTATTATCATCACTGTTGTTGCTTAACATAAGTTATCTTGGGAACCCCATCTTGGATCTATAGTTAAATATCCTTGGAGCCCCATGGAAGGAATTTTTAGTGCATTGTATTTATTGTATTTTATACTGTTTTGTGTTGTTTTATTGTTTTAACCGGCATTTATGCCCCTTGTGAGCCGCCCTGAGCTTTCGGGGAGGGCAGGATATAAATTTAAAAACAAATAAATAAATTTCCTGCATTGTGCAGGGAGTTGGACTAGATGACCCTGGAGGTCCCTTCCAGATCTTATGATTCTGTGGTTCTAAGGTCCAGTCGCCTCACTAGAGCCTGAAGCCTGAATTACCGAGTTCCTTCCTCTGACTCTCCGCCGTCTCCCCTTCGGACAATACTGGGGGTGTGAGCCGTTCCTGGCATATGACAGCGCTGTAGGGACATACATTGTTGTTACTGTATATCATTATCGTCACTGTTGTTGCTTAACATAAGTTATCTTGGGAACCCCATCTTGGATCTATAGTTAAATATCCTTGGAGCCCCATGGAAGGAATTTTTAGTGCATTGTATTTATTGTATTTTATACTGTTTTGTGTTGTTTTATTGTTTTAACTTCGGCATTTATGCCCCTTGTGAGCCGCCCTGAGCCTTCGGGGAGGGCAGGATATAAATTTAAAAACAAATAAATAAATTTCCTGCATTGTGCAGGGAGTTGGACTAGATGACCCTGGAGGTCCCTTCCAGATCTTATGATTCTGTGGTTCTAAGGTCCAGTCGCCTCACTAGAGCCTGAAGCCTGAATTACCGAGTTCCTTCCTCTGACTCTCCGCCGTCTCCCCTTCCCCCCCCCAGGCAAAGTGTCGGTTGCTCCCTCCTCCCAGGAGCCCTACACCTGCGTCCAGTGCAAGACGGACTTCACCTGCCGCTGGCGGGAAGAGAAGCGGGGGCTGATCATGTGCGAGACCTGCATGTCCTCCAACCAGAAGAAGGCCCTGAAGGCCGAGCACACCAACCGCCTGAAGGCCGCCTTCGTCAAGGCCCTGCAGCAGGAGCAGGAGATCGAGCAGCGGATATTGCAGCAGGCCGCCTCCCCCGGGCAGACCAAGCCGGATCAGCTCGCCCAGCAGCACCATGCCCTCAAGCAGGTAGGGGCCAGGCCAGCACCCTCGGTCTCACGGTGGCCGTTCGGATGCCTCTGGAGAGGCCCTCGAGCAGCGGTCCCCAGTGTGGTGCCGGGGGGGAGGCGCTGACACCTTATGGAGCAGAGGTCCATCAGTGGCTATTAGCCACAAGGTATAGATAGGGACTCTGGGGCAAGTGATGCTCTGTCATCTTGGTGCTTGGGGGGGGGGTCAACAGTGGGAGGGCTTCTAATGTCCTGGCCCCACTGCTGGACCTCCTGATGGCACTGGTATTTCTGGCCACTGTGGGATACAGAGTGTTGGACTGGATGGGCCTTTAGCCTGATCCAACATTGGCATCTCTTGTTCTTATGTAGTGCCTGCCAGGTGTTTTTAGAATACAAGATGAAAGGCGTCAATATGTCAAAACAAGGAACAGCGATATATCAAAACAAAGGGAAAATGCACGTGCCCAAATTTGACATCAACGATCAGTACATTTTATTAGACGTATAAAGTAGAACAAATTTTCCAAAATTAACATCATTAAGTTGTGTGGCCCAAAACTAGAATTCACATAAGTTGTGTGGCAAAACTCCACCTGTGAATTTCTACTTGTATTCAGCTTGATTCACATACGTTGTGTGGCAAAACTCCACCTGTGAATTTCTACTTGTATTCAGCTTGATTCACATACGTTGTGTGGCAAAACTCCACCTGTGAATTTCTACTTGTATTCAGCTTGATTCACATACGTTGTGTGGCAAAACTCCACCAGTGAATTTCTACCTGTTTTTGGAAAATTTGTTCTACTTTATAGGTCTAATTAAATGCATTGATCATTGATGTTAAATTTGGGCACATGCATTTTTAAGTGTTTCTAGAAAGCAGGCTTTTGCCCCGCCCAGCAAAGGTTTCGATTGGCCGTTGCTGATTTGATTGGCCGTGCTGATTTGATTGGCCGTGCTGATTTAAAAAAACAACAACAACGTTGCTTGGGTAGCGGCTGCCACCACAGTACAAATATCGTGTGGATGAAGCTAAGCTGCAGCAACCATTTTGCGGCCAGCCCTGCTTCCGGCAGCAGCCACTTGTAGCTGTGCCCATCACAGGCATGTCAGAATTCAAAAGTTGCCTACAGGTGCCAAAAGGTCGAGGATTCCTGCCCTGAGAGGCAGTCCGCAGGTAGCCTGGGGAGCCACAGTAAGGGAGCCCCCCCCCCCAATGGTCTTGCCCATGGCAGCATTCTTTTTCCAGCTGTGGACAGCCATTTTTTTTGTCCCTCCTCTCTTATGTTACATTTTTGACTGGTTGGTGGGCGTTTCTGTACTGCTTCTCCAGGGGGGCGATGGAGGATGGATTCTGGTGGCAGCCAGTTTTGAGTAGCGGTTAAGAGCGGCAGACTCTAATCTGGAGAACCAGGTTTGATTGCCCACTCCTCCTCCACATGCAGCCAGCTGGGGGACCTTGGGTCAGTCACAAGTTCTCTCGGAGCTCTTCTCTCAGGAGCAGTTTCTGTCAGAGCTCTCTCAGCCCCCCTTCCTCACAGGGTGTCTGTTGTGGGGAGAGGAAGGGAAAGGAGTTTGTAAGCCGCTCTGAGACTCCTTCGGGTAGTGAAAGGCACCAGGGTATAAATCCAGCTCTTCTTCTTCCTATACGGACTGTAAAAAACCCAGAGTAGAACTGTAGGAAATGCCCCTCTCCCTTGAGGTTCCCCCGTGGTGCCTGCCTTGCCACTTTCTAGGTGCCAGGCCAAAACATTTCTCCAGAGCCAGGCTTTGAACTGAAGAGGTGACTCTGCCCAGTCTTTGAAAAAAGTTTTGCCGGGTCGGGTTTTATGTTCTTTGCTAAATTGTTTTGTTACCGCTTTGTACTGGCGAAAATGTTGCGGTGCATTTATACTGTTTGTGCCCAGGTGCCTTCTCTTCAGTTAGTTATGTGATGCGTGTCACTTTGTTCTTTGAACTCCCTGAACCTGGTCTCTGCCAGGTTGGGGGTGTGTGTGTGTGCGGCCTATAAATGTTCTGAACGAAACAAAACTAGCACTTTCTAGATCATTCAGTGAGAAACCTAGCAAGCCCAAGAATGTAACTTTTTAGATTTGCAGTCAATCTGAGCGGAAAAAGTACTCGGCCATTCATTCTCCAAAACAAGTTGACAGGTTCCCCAGTCTGAGGAGTTTGTGTTGTGTGATTATAATGTCAGGGAAGAGCTGTCGATCACTGAAAGCAAATGCAAAGGGGTATTGGGAGCAAAAGAGGACAGACCAAGGGGGCTGCTCTTGAGTTAGTTATGGGACTAGTGTCCCTAGTTAGTTGTGTACCTAATGTCTGGGAACAGAACCAGGCTGGTTCGCTTGGGTTAGCTATGTGACTAGTGTCATTCATTAGTTGGGTACCTAATGTTTGGGAAGAGCTGTTGATCACTGCAAGCTCTGTATAGATGCAAAGGGGTGTTGGGAGCCAAAGCAAACAGACCAAGGCGGCTTCTCTTCAGTTAGTTATGTGATGCGTGTCACTAGTTAGTTGCGTACCTAATGTCTGGGAAGAGCTGTTGATCACTGCAAGCGCTGTATAAATGCAAAGGTGTGTTGAAAGCAAAAGAGAACAGACCAAGGCGGTGGCTCTTCAGTTAGTTACGTGACTAGTGTCACTAGTTAGTTGTGTGCCTAATGTTTGGAAAGAGCTGTCGATCACTGCAAACGCTGTATAAATGCAAAGGGGTGTTGGGAGCGAAAGAGACCAGGCCAAGGCCCGTCTCACAGACCGCCGCCTACGCAGGCTTCCTGCCCCAGACTGATGCCACCCCTCCCTCTCTCCCCGGTTGCTCCACAGACCTCCAGCCAGCTGCCCCGAAGCACCAGCACCCCCCGTGGAGTCTTGCATGCATTTAGCCCGTCGCCCAAGTTGCAGAACGCATCCGGCGTGGCCGTACTTGGTGGCAGGCAAGGTAAGCATGCTCCGAGGCCCATCGGGAAAGGCGGTGCTTGCACTTGGAAGAAGACTCTCGCCAACGCAGGTAGATGGCTCGCTCGTCTCTTGTCGCCGCTGGCCGCAACTCCCTTGTTCGGCCAGCAACTAAAAAAAAAAAATGACTTCTGGGTGAAAAGGGTGCTTCTCCTTGGTTCTCCCTCCTCCTCTCCTCCCTCGCTCTCTCCCCCCTCTTTGCGGTGTGTTCATTACGGTTGTTTCAAACGTAGACTTGGACCTCTGAGAATCCTGAGCGGGGAGGTGGAGGTGGTTTCCCTGCCCATTCCCCCCCCCTCCAAAAAAAAGATAGTGTGTTGCTTGAATGCTTAGCAGGACAGCACCGTAGGGCCCAGCAGTCGTTCTGCAAGCAGGATTCTAAATCAGCCGTGAGTGCGATCCTGTGCAGGTTTTCTCACAAGCGAGTCCCAGTGGATTCAGTGAGATTAATTCCCAAATCGGCGCATATCGGATGGCCGGCAAAGTCACATCTGCATGGTTGGTACGGTGCGCTGCCTTGGGTGAGCCAGTTTGGTGTAGTGGTTAAGTGCGTGGACTCTAATCTGGGAGAACCGGGTTTGATTCCCCACTCCTCCGCTTGCACCTGGCTGGATGACCTTGGGCAAGCCATAGTTCTGATAAGAGCTGTCCTTGAAAAAGAGCAGTTTCTGTCAGAGCTCTCTCAGCCCCACCTACCTCACAGGGTGTCTGTTGTGGGGAGGGGAAGAGAGAGGAGTTTGTAAGCCGCTCTGAGACTCCTCTGGGTAGTGAAGGGCGGGGTATAAATCCAATCTCTTCTTCTGGGTGCCTTCTGGAAGAGGCGTTGCTCCCACGAGCGGGTTGGTAGCAGGCTCACCTCTAAGATGGTGGCCTGCCACCCACCTTTTCATTTTGGGGGCATCCGTGTCTTTTCAAGAAAACACTTCCAAGAAATGCCCGCCCTGATTTAATCAAAGGGCACGCTCAAGGTGCTGAGACGTTTCTGAATCGATTGCTCTGATTGGCTGGTGATCACAGCCCCTTGTTCCTGGCCGTCACGTGGCCTGATCCCTGCTAATGCAATAATAATCCCTTTTTGCCTATATGTGGAACGGGGCTGAGCGGCCTGGGCTTGCCTGTGGCACACTTGTCCTGTGAAGGACCCAGGGGTCTTCCTGCAGCAGTCTCGCAGGCCAGAGCCCTGCTGTAAGCAGAGCTGCTGGGGACAAGGCTGTCAAACACAGATCCTCGCAGAGCCTCACGGGCAGTGTTCCCTCTAAGCTGTGTCAGTGTGAGCTAGCTCACAGTTCTTTAGCCTCCGGCGCACACACTTTCGTCTTAGATCGGGAAGGAGGGCTCCAGAGCAAACTGAATCCATGCAGCAGCCAAACGGCTCGCTCACTACTTGAATGCCAGGAGCTCGCAAAGTAGAGTTTTTGCTCACGACTCCACAGCTTAGAGGGAGCATGGGTCACGGGTCCCCCGTTGCTTTCAGCCAGCGTATCGAAGCCCTCCCTCCAGCCGATTAGCATGCCGGAGGTCCCCGAGGTCTCTCGCAGAGGGGTGGCTGAGACTGAACCACGGGCCTAAAAGCCTGGGTGGAAATCTCACCTCTGATTCTACACCACAGCCTGCCATAGGGGGGGTGCAGCTGGGAATATGCGAGAGCATATACAAAGGGCTTGGGAGGCTTCCGTTGCAGAGGTGTGCTGTCACATTTATGGCACTGGGCCATTTTTTCTGGGAAGGACAGAAGGTCTGTCCTCTTTCCAGCAGATAATAATCATCATCATTATCATCGTATAGAAGTGTCTGTAGTATAGCCAGGAGAGCCAAAGATTGTCTGGCGGCCAGAAGTTCTAGCTCTTTTAGCGTTATGCACCACTAGGTGGCGAGCTAGACTTTGTTTTTAAGGCAAGAGACGTTTCAGAGGTGGTTTTGCGATTGCCTGCCTCTGCGTCACGCCCCTGGTATTCCTCGGCAGTGTTCCCTCTAAGCTGAGTTAGTGTGAGCTAGCTCACAGTTTTTTAGCCTCCGGCTCACCCATTTTTGTCCTAGCTCAGGAAGGAGGGCTCCAGAGCAAACTAATTTATACAGCAGCCCAATCGCTCGCTCACACCTTTAATGCCAGTAGCTCACAAAGGAGAATTTTTGCTCACAAGACTCCACTGCTTAGAGGGAGCATTGTTCCTCAGAGGTCACCCCTCAGCCAGGGCTCTGTACCCAGCAGCCGTTATCCCTGACATCTGAGAATCTGAGGCATGCTGCCTGTTCACCAGCATCCATCGAGACCTGGATGCAGAGGGAGGAATTTGCCTCTGTCGACCCCCAGCCTCTGGAGGCCCTGGCCAGTGAGAATCCCAATGGCTTCTGTCTGCACAGGCCCAGCCGACCGAAGGCAGCCCCATAGGGTTTTCCTGGCAAGAGACGTTCAGAGGTGGGTTTGCCGCTGCAGGGCAGCCCCGGACTTCCTCGGTGGTCTCCCATCTAAGCACTCACCAGGGCCGGCCCTGCTTAGCTTCTGAGACCTGACGAGATCGAGTTAGCCCGGGTCACCCAGGTCCGGGCCACTGAAGACAGCTGCTATAAATGCTTCAGCGTTAAAATACGATAGTGATCTACCTGGCGGTGGAAGGAACCAGCAGGTCGACCCTTTAAGTCGGCCATGACCTGCTGGATCCTTCCACCGCCAGGTCACGGCCGACTTAAAGGGTGACCCTGTTGGATTTTCAAGGTAATAGACGTTCAGAGGTGGTGGAGAACAGAAAAGAAGCCAAATGCTGGAGCAGGCCGGTGGCCCATCCAGTCCAACGCTCCTTGTCACACAGTGCCCAAAAGGTACCAGGTGCCATCAGGAGGTCCACCAGTGGGGCCAGAACTCCAGAAGCCCTC